AGGGCATTCGCTCTGCCCTCATCTTTTAGGGGCATTTTTGCATCTTGCACACGGGCCTGACAGGGGCAAAATGCAAAGAATTAGGACCAAAAGGGCTTTCGCTCTACCCTCATCTTTTAGGGGCATTTTTGCATCTATCTCAACTTATAGGGGTATTTCACAAATTGTCCCTTTTTTTTTGTTAATGTTTGCGTTGGTAGGGTTTTTGTGCTTGTTCACGTTCGATCGTGAACGTTCAGGTTCGGTCGTCGAACCCGAACACGATGCTTTCACAGATTTAAACCAGTCAGAAACGAACAGTGGATGCTTGTGTCGCAGAGGGCGAAAAAAAAGACAGACCCAAAGAGTCAATCCTTCTGTAGCAAGTGTCTCACATCTCCTACTCCATGATGCTCTGAGCTGAATGAAAAAAAATAAATCCCCTCAGGTCTCAACTTGACTCCGCACAGTCTCTGCCCTCATAGACCAGTCTATGGAGTGAAGTTGCAGGTTTACGCTCACAAACGAACTCAAGTCCCACATATAATAAACAGGCTCAACTCTCTATACGTGTGTGAGCGATCGTCCAGCTGCAGGCTAGATCTCAGATCGAGGCTTCTGTTCTGTGGCAGCTAAGATTCTGGGCAATCTCAGTACATCTCTATACATCGTGGCTCGAGTCTACACCATTAGACTGAGCTTCTGCTCTTCTCCCATTTTTTTGTTCCCAAAATCATTACATGCCCGGAGATTGCCCAGCCCACCCATGCAAAACAGCCATCTTTAAACTCTGCTGAATTCCTCATGGTTCCTCCTGTGCACACACACACACACACACACACACACACACACACACACACACACACACCATCTTGAAACTCTGCTGAATTCCTAATGGTTCCTCCTATGCACACACACACACACACACACACACACACACACACACACACACATTCCAGCACCAACGACAACCCAAAGAAAAAAAGGAAACAAAAGGGAAAATTGCATCCGTACCCCACTTAAAGATGAGAATACCCGCTATACCCAGTCCCAGCTCGAACTTGTATCTATACCCGGAAGGCACTCAAAGAGTACCCAGATTTTCCCCCGTAAAAAATTGTAGGTGTACCCAGTCCCGCAGTCCCTGGATTTAGAGCACAAAATTATACTCATGCCCACCAAGTAGACCATTGTGGCCGAACAACTGCTGGGTATGAGCATAATTTCAGCCATCTGGCAGCAGGGCATATGAACAATTTGGCCTCTCCTCCTCAGGTCCCGGGTGCGCCCATAACGTTGCCTGGGTATATCCATAATTTGTGCACTCTGGTAGTCAGTTACAACCGCAATTTTGCGGTACCAACCTGGGTCCCCCTTGGTCCTGGGTGTTCCTACAATTTCCACCAGCCGTTTTCTGCATATAGACGCAAGTTGGCGCTGGGACTGCGTACAGCCGGTGTTCCCATCTTAGAGGGGTACAGATGCAATTTTCCCCAAAATATAAGATTTTGGGCCGGACACTATACATGCTATTTATACCTTTCTCAACATCTCGGCTAAGATGGTCGGCTTTCTTTTCTTTTTTCTTTTTCGTTTTTTTTGCTCCGTTTTCTTTTTTTCGCTTTTTTTTTTTTTTTTTTTTGACTGATCGGAACAGATATTATACTTCATCTTAGCCAAAAGACCGAGAAAGGCTTTATATCCGATTGAAGAAACATACAGATGAAACGAAGCTGGACACTGTCGCAATCTGTGACTGTACTCTCCAAGGACTCCGACTGCAGGACCTAGCTGTGGCTTCAGGGTTCTCTCAGACCTCTCCTTGTCAACGCAGAAAGCCCACATTCAGTCCTCATACGGCCTCTCCACACAGCTCACCAAATGTGCAAAATAAGAACGAATCTTCTGCTGGAACGTGGAAATATGCACCAACATAATTTGTCTTTTGCACAGTTAAAAAAAAAAAAAGAAAAAGAAAAAAAAGGTCCTTGGTCTACAGTTTGCCCACCACACAAATACCCCTGCAGATCCTAACTCGTTTGCATTTAAGTACTCAAAAGAACTGCGCTTCTCTGAATCTATCCGATGGCAATTCCCAAGTATGCCCTTCATATTAGCAAAAAGTCACATGGCTGAAGTTCCATTACAGTCTCTACTGCCTCTTAGCATAGCACACTCCCGCTACCGTCTTCACCCGCGGATAGAATGCCTTGTCATTATATCTGTATTTGGGCCAACTTTCGGTCCAGACGCAGCGATATTAACAGGGCATTCTATTCGGCTGAAGACAGCAGCACTCTCCTGACCGTTTACGACCTCAAGAAGACCACAAAAGAGTGCAGAATCTCGAATACGGAGAATAAAACAACACTCACCCTAGCACTTTCCTGGATGTCTAGGACCGTAAACAGACAGGCCCACAAAATGAGTTCAGAAGGTCCGATAAAGGCGAATACCCTGAATAACTCGTCAATCGTCGAGCTTCTGGTGCAAGATTGTAAACGCAATCTTGCTGTTTAGAGAAGCGTCTTTTTTCTTTTCTTCTTAAACCACCAGTACCTCGCTCAGCTATTGAATCCGAGCCTCCCAGCACGCTGCGCACCAAGTCCTGCTGAACCACCGTCGCAATTTTCTTTTTTGTTTTGCCTGTCGCCTCGAGCCAATGCGGTCCGGCAGGCCCCGAAGCCCAAATGGCGCGGCGCGTATACGGGAAGCGCCGCGGCCGATAGCTGGGCCAGGTACTGGTGGTTTAAGGATGGCACCCTCGAGATATCATCTTTTGACATCATCTTCAAACTGATCGGCCCAAGGTCAATTCAGCATGTTATTCAACTGAGCCGAGTTCATTTGGAACTCACTGTATTGGTCTGTATTCCAAGAGTTCACGGATGTGCCAACTGAGCATCTCAAGGAAAGCAGCCCTCAAAAGGGGGAGGAGGGTAGGAGAGCAACGTTAAAGGCAGATTCGTCCATTAGCACCCGTCTTTTTTTCCTCTGGTTTACCCTAGTTAGAGAGAGAAACATTCTGCATGCATTCCGTGCCCACCCAAAGCTAAACCTTTCCTTTACCGACTATCATAATTTCCCCATACAATTATTATGTTGCGAGGATGTGCCTCTGATATCAAAATACTGCCACACTTAGACAGTACTCCATTTCCTGCGCATCATCCGACCAAGTTCCCATGTCACTCGCCTCACAATGTGGATAGTCTTGACCATGTAAGTCTCTCTCTCTCTCTCTCTCTCTCTCTCTCTCTCTCTCTCTCTCTCTCTCTCTCTCTGTGTGTGTGTGTGTGTGTGTGTGTGTGTGTGTGTGTGTGTGGTACTGGTGCTTGCATGGCTGCTGAAGCACTACCTGGACACAATGGAGATGCTCTCCCTCTTCGCCAAGTGCTTGCCCTGGTTTGCCATGGAGGTGAGGGAAGGCTGGTAGCACATGTATAGCGGGGCTCAAGGGTTGCCTGTGCGTGTGTGTGTGTGTGTTTTCCACTTTCAGGCGTGCTCCGGCCCTTTTTTTTGTGGAGTCGGTGGTGGTTGGGATGGCGGACAGCACATTTTCACATGCACTGACCGCCCTTATTCACAGACCTGCTAGCACCTCAGACAATGTTTTGGGGCCCAGAGGCCCTGGCCCTCCGAGCCTGGGCTGTGCCTGATCACTGTAGATTTCGACCAGGTGCTCGTCGTCAAATTCTATCTACAGTACAGGGGCAGATGAGCAAGTGGTTTCAAAAAAGGCCGTTAACAGGTTCTAGCAAACTTGTGATGGCCCATATGATAAATTTGTGCAGGCTACTATGAAATTCAACGGGGAATCTGTGCTACCCTCTATATGCTGGTTCTCGGTCGGAACCAGTTCGGCTGTAAATCACTGCTGCACCCATAGCTCCCTTTTCCTCCCAGTAGCGGGAGCCGCATCCTCCCTCTGCCCAACTCAGATCGGAGTTTGAAGTGCAAAAGTTCTCTAGTACTGGGACGGCCAGTTGGTCCAGATGCATTGGCCATTTCCAACACAGGTCAATTTGCATCCCATTGCGGGTCGAGGACAGGATACCACCACTGCCAATGGCGCTCCTAACATCCCACTGCTGCCCAAGGCGTGCCTATCAGTCACACGGTCAGTTTGTGACCCATCAGACCAATGAGCTGGTGATACCCAGTACGTCCAACCCTGGGAGGGTTCACATATTACTTCATGTGCAGCAATGGTCTAGTGGGGGTGCCCTGAGCTGGTGCTCGCCACTAAGTCCAACCCTGGGAGGGTTCACATATTACTTCATGTGCAGTAATGGTCTAATGGGGTTGCCCTCAGCTGGTGCTCGCCACTCCGTCCAACCCTGGGAGGGTTCACATATTACTTCACGTGCAGTGATGGTCTAATGGGCGTGCCCATACAGGACATCTCGATTACTCAGCCCAATTCGCACCGCATACTACCACAGAGCCCAGCAACCCGCATGGATTTGGGCGCCGGTCACCTGCTCCATCTGCAGCGAAGGGACAGACGAGACAACTGCCAGTTGCTGATTCGCTTCCCATCTCCCCTGCATCTCCTTCAGGAAACAGACAAAAGGACAAAGCAATTTACACACGAATATTGGGCATGTACATGATTGTGCTCCTGAAGGCAAAAGGTGGCAGGGAGGGGGTGGAAGTCTGAGAGGAAAGAGGTTAAGGGTTAGGTGTGCAGAGAGGCATGCAGTAGTCGATGCCACATGTACCAAACCAAGGGTGGTTAAAAAGAAGAAGGGTCCATGCGGCAGAATGGGAGAGACAACAATGAGAGAGAGAGAGAGAGAGAGAGAGAGAGAGAGAGAGGCATCCACTTTGTCTTCTGCAGGAGGTCATGTCTTTTACATAGCCAATACAGAAGTACATAAAAGCTTTTCCATCGTACCCACTTTCCACTAACACATAGCCAATACAGAAGTACATAAAAGCTTTTCCATCGTACCCACTTTCCACTAACGGCTCTACACGTTGTGTGGATCACACAATAGGCTCTTTAGCACAAAGGACGTAGACGAAATAATTCATTTATGTCTGAGCCAAATAATTTATTTACATTTGAACTATTTCAGGCTATTTGCTACTCCACGCAAAATGTACATATATACATCCCTTGGTGATGTTTCGTGTCTCTTCCAGAAGGCCCACGCACGTCACAGTCCATCCATCACTGCTGGGACCGGATCACAGCCAGCGCACTCGAGCTCAAACATATAGAAGGTCATTGTTCAAATCCATCTGCAATCTGCACACCCGTGTGCATGCTAGGCGCCGACCGGTCTGGACTTGTACCAACGCACCCCCGGCAAGCACTGGTCAAAGCTTAAACAGGCACCCACGCACCCCCGGCAAGCACTGGTCAGACATTAAACCGCCGCAGCCCCCAAATTTAATTCCAACCTCTACTTTACCCGACACTGGAATCCCGAACAGTCAAAAGGTCAGGCCTACCGGAGGCAGCGGGATGATGGACCAAGCAGTGGTAATGGTAGATTCCAAACATCATCAACTACAAAACTACAAGCGAGTGCAACAGGAGTCGATCATTCCCCTCTCGAGGAAACACATCCTCATTAACGTTGTACACACAGGAGCGACAGTGCGCAAGGACAGGGGCCAGGGCAACACCTCGAGAGTACTCTACAAGTGAGCCAGATAGCTAGCAGCATAATCATAACACCTTCATTGACGCCAAGGAGACGTTGCACACACCCACTGCCACCCATCTGGTACCCACTGGTCAGAAAGCACCCAATCTAGGGAGTTCGAATGCCCCACTCCCCTCACCTCACCGATCTCACACCAGTGCCAAAACACTCTCAGGACAGAACACCCAAACTCTCACACTACCACTACTTCTGCCGAACCTTGTTCCTGATCCTGCCATGGCAGGTCACAACAGCTCACCAATCAGCTGTGCATTCAGTGGACATCACATCACACCAGAGTGTAAAAACACTCTCCGGACAGAACGCCCAAACTCTCACACTACCATTACTTCTGCTGAACCTCGTTCCTGATCCTGCCATGGCAGGTCACAACATCTTACCAATCAGCTGTGCATTAAGTGGACACCCCTAACCAGAATGCCGTGCTGGGATATAGGGGCACCCCCCTAGCCATAGACCAATTCCAGCCGCTTGCATATTCGACACCACCCTGGCCGTGGAGAATTTCCACGCCTTAAATGAATGACACCAGTGCAGCCAGCCAGGATAAAGCATTACTTCTGGTTGATAGGCAATGGCCAGGAAGGGCAAGTGAAATTGGAATTCACACCGGAACCCTACCTATCAGTGTGCTTCCATGGAGCTAGGAATGCAGGAGGACGAGGCGTTCAAAACCAAACCGTAAGCCATTTTACATTTAACCGAGGAGAAGGAATCAATAGTGTTATGGGAGGGGAGGAAACGTACACTGAAACTAGAACAGAAAAAGCAGCAGTCACCGCAGGGTATAGCTTTCACTCAAGACAGAGAAAGACCCTACATTGCATTGATCCCACTGACCCGTACCACTTATGGCGTTCTCTCTCTCTCTCACTCTCTCTCTCTCTCCCCCTCACACACACACACACACACACACGCACACACACACACACACACGCATGCATGCACAGAGGCAAACAAAATCACTCTCTTTATCTCTCATGTAAATGCACTCCACAAATTCCTCACACACCGACAGAAGGAACCACATCCATATGAAAATTTCCGTTCCCTCCCCAGCCTCTCTCACCTCACACATAATACCCACATACCGGGCACATAGACACTCGAAAGCAGACGGGTAACCACACGCACATAAGCAGATAGCAGGCAGCAGAGCACGGGGACAAGAGCAGACATGTTCATGGCAAATATTGCAGCCTTATCGAGGTTGTTCCGGACGTATCCTTCCTAATACACTGCTGTGAACTCGACCCCGACTCCGGCCTTAGAGCGAGAGGCACTGGATGAGCTCAAGATCAACTGGTTCTCAAAATTTAGTCCGCAATTACAAGCTGGTCAATTTGAGCCACGCTACGCGCCTCGTCTTATCGCAAGTCCCTCCAGGCAAACCGAAGACTCAAGAGCGCTACTTGGGTTATTGAAGGAGACACGAGGAGATGGGCGACAACACAATCTAATGCATGCCCCCTCCCTCCCCCCCCCCCCCCCCCCCCCCCCCCCCCCCCCCCCCCCCCCTCTCTCTCTCTCTCTCTCTCTCTCTCTCTCTCTCTCTCTCTATGTATCTATCTATGTATCTATCTATGTATCTCTCTCTCTCTCTCTCTCACACACACACACACACACACACACACACACAAATACATCTCACGTAGACACCAGATGCACATGCACAAAGAGAGACCGCCGCGGCCAACGCCTGCGCCGGTAGGAAGTTACAGGCACACCAAATCGGGGAACTGCCAGAACAAAGCAGCCAAGATATATTTAGAGCCATCTGTTCAACTTCCGCAAGTACAATGTGATCATTAGGTAGGCATTGTCCCAAATTGAGCCATCGGTCCACATAGTTAGCTATTCACACGTCAGCGAAATTGTCCCTACCTGCAATCCTGTATTTGAGTATCTATAAAGGCACAATACAGAGAGGCAGAGTCATGAGTAACAGATCCGAAGGCGGTGTGTTCAGGAAGGAAGGGGAGAAGGCGAAGCGAAGAAGAGAGAGAGCATCTTTCAAGTGAGGAGAAGTGGATCCGTACTTTGTGCGTATTCAGGACAGAGAGAAGAGAGGTCTACCGCACAAGTGAGCAAGGCGTGCAATAAAAACAGATGTCCAACCCCCTTTTTGCTAGAACGAATGAGTACGCTCACGAGGCAATCACGTTATTGCCAAGCAACACGTAGGGCCCAGTACACGTCGACATGCCAACGAGAAGATGGTTAACAATTACGCAGGCACTCCCTAACAAATAAATCCTTCGAATTAGGAGACTGCCCTACCGTCTTTCCCCGAACATAACGCACCCTCATCATGAATGTATGTATACGAGTTATCTTCCCGGTCGGATACCGGCAAAACGAGGGTGCATTGCGTTCGGCGGAAGACGGTAGATAAGAAAGACCTCCCGCGCAGCGACCTAATCTTCAGCTTCGACTTCGACTTTGCTACACTAACAAGATGCAAAGCAAATCCTTTGACAACCTCAGCATCAAAACTGTGTTAAGGCGGCAGCTAAAATTTAAGTAACAGGATTTGGTATACAAGGAGCTAGCTGATTGGATCGGAAACGAGTCCTGAAATCGAAGCAGAACAGACGAGATAGGGACAAAAGCGGCACCCCGAGATATCTATCATACCCCCACTATCATTTGAGATAGTAGTGAGGAGCCGAATGAGACTATCTCTTTCCGTTCAAAGACGACTCGAAATAATTAGCTATTACAGAGCTGGGCGTGACACCGTTATGATCGTTTTCCAAGACGCTAAATTAACTACTACAGAGCGGGGAGTGAAACCGTTATGATCGTATCGTTCTACGAGACGATCAGTCCAAGACTCCACGCAGTTCCGGCGAAGTGATTACAAGAGCGCAAAGCGTCTCCAGCTTCTACGCACAAACTCGAGAAATACTATCCGCACGTGACAAATTGTGGAGGCTACAAGGTCCATTCGTGAGCCCAACAGTTTTGTCCACAGTACCCCAACTGCTTGACCCCCTCCACTCCACCGCCCCCCCCCCTTTTCCCTTTGAATCAGAGGGCATCAGGACTACCCCCGCCTCTTCAAACTTGTCCGTGAGTGCCATATCCATGATAACCATAAAGTCTACAGACTGCAGGTCGCCAAATCATAGGCATCAACGTCCCTCGAGATGGAGTCACACTTGCCGTTAATGGCAGATTCTCGCTGCAACCGAGCGCGGGCTCAATCTCGAAATTTGGACGTGACGGCTCCCCCCCCAACCCCATGAGTCCCAGTAAGTATAATCCAGGACCTCGTACATTTCCTCATACATTTCGACGGTTGATGACCACCACCATCTTCATGATCGCTCCACGAAAGAAACACCCCCTGCCGCGTACCGCGCAAACAGGGATGTCATCATCACTCTACCAGATTAATGGCCATCTACTACCTTCCTACTCGTCATACTTCTACTTCAGTCCTCCATTATCTTCCACTGTGGCCGTATCACATCGCACGAAGAGCTCCGTTTGCTTGCCGACAACTCGACATCATCTTCCATTGTGGTCCCCACCACTCTTAAAAAGCGGCATGCAGATGTCTTAACGAGTCGATACCGGAGAAAAACCACCGTCAAATCTCCAAGAACACCGAAGATCCCATTCACACGGGTACGGCTTCTCCAACATTGAGCCTAGGAGCACGAACGTGCGCTTCAAACGCGGTTTCTCTAATGAGAGACGAGAACCAAGGAGGAGGGGGGAGGGCCAAAAGACTGAGCGGGTTGGGGGCGGGGAAGAGGAGGAACACAAGGAAATGTGGAGACGATCAACAGGAGTTCAAATCTCAGAACGTTACTTTATTTCCTGGGAAAAGATCAGCCAGCTACGAATACCCTAAACTTGTCAAAGCATTGATTCCACGGTCCGCCAACTAGCTTGACTTCGCCATTGGTCGTTGATGGGGTCTGCAAGAGGTCAAATTCGCAAGAGCACACTGATACCCCCCATTTGCAGCTTTTGAAATGATGGATGACGTCCTTTCACTCTGGACTTTGGTAGCAATCGAGGAAGCAATTCCCGTCTCTCTGCGTTTATCTTGGGCCGTCAACGTCTGCGCCCGGGTTACATCAAAACCCGTCCTCCCATATTCGTCAACGCCCACCTCATCATCATCACTAACCTCGACACACGTGCCCACCTCATCATCATCACTAACCTCGACACGCGTGCCCACCTCATCATCATCACTAACCTCGACACACGTGCCCACCTCATCATCATCACTAACCTCGAGACACGTGCCCACCTCATCATCATCACTAACCTCGAGACACGTGCCCACCTCATCATCATCACTAACCTCGAGACACGTGCCGCATGAACAAAAGTCCTATGAAAACCTTGCTAAGGGGATCCTTGCGTGGCGAAAGCACGCTTCGACCTTCGACGTAACCGGTTCGATGACGTCGAGTTCGGGCACTGATTAAACGAGATGGGCGCATAATCAATTCTGCTTCTACGAGCTGGACGGACGCCGTTGCGATCTGCTTCGGCGGTCATCTCCATGACTTCGGCGGCCACTCTCCCAGCACGTAGTTCGCACGAAAACAAAAATATAATAGCGTGGGGACCCCGTCCCTGCTTTAGCAGTCATCTCCCAGACCGACAACCCGAACACCTACTCATGATAATCACCGGGCGGCACTCTCCCCAGCTGGTGATGCTGTTGGGTGGACTCACTCAGCGATTGGCAGCCGGAGAGATTGCAGTTGCCGGAATCCGGTGGTAATCCAGTGCTTTTCCCTCTAGCTAATCCCCTTTTTAATCACGGTCAATTCATGCTACCCGCGGCAAGAACAGTGGCAGCACGCAGTGCCATGCGTCTCAACACTTAGCCCTGAAAGCATCCGTCATGCGCAGCGCGTTCAAGGAGTGACGGATGTCGCAGACATGATCGGTTCCCATCCTTCAAGTGATTGCGCTCATAACTACACGATCCGATGAACCGCGTGATTTGGAACTCGACATGTGCTCGAACGCCATTTTCCACTTGTCTTCACTATCTCCATGCTGTTCATTATCACGAGTGGCTGTGCATTACCATAACATAACGTCATCCCTCACCGTTGCCGTGAGGTCAGTCATTCACTCTTCTCCTCGATGCCCGAAAGCTTCCTTGTCTCCCACACACCCTCTATCGCTATCCCACGCTTGCTCTCTCTCTCTCTCTCTCTCTCTCTCTCTCTTACACACACACACACACTATCTCAAACACAGAGACAGATAGCAAGCGGCTCCTAGTTCACAGAACGAACTCATTTGAAACGGAAAGGATGCCCTGAAACAGAAAGCATGTCCATTTAAAGCGCAGGCTGCGACGGTTCGTCGAAAAACTACCAACTTACGACAGTTGGAGAATCACTCGCGATATAGCACAAAACCGATCACCCCTTGTCACAGATAAGCAGCATCCGCCCCTGAAAACTAACAGCCATGCGAACACCACACTTGACAAAACCCGTACAAACTATCACATATTACCACAACGTCACAGGAAACCATCTCTCTCTCTCTCTCTCTCCCTCCCAAGCGCGCACGCGCAAAATGTTGGACCCGACACAGCATTTTCCAACAAAAAGGGAATGTTTTCACAAACTCGTCCGCAAGGGAAGACAAGTTCACCAAACGAAGGGGGACGGCTGCGACAGATCCACAAGAGTACTCTCGACAGTTCGCGGAATCGCCGAGAAGATGATCGGACAGCTTTGCATTACCCTGAGAACCCCCATCGAGCAGAAAGGAAAAAGAACGTGTCGAAATAACCCATCATCACAACGTCGCATAACGCCACACAGCCAGATGAGAAAAACAGGCTAGGATGCACATCTTTCGACACTTGTCTCTCTCTCTCTCTCTCTCTCTCTCTCTCTCTCTCTCTCTCTCTCTCTCCCACACACACACACACCCCGCCCCGCCAATTACAAATACCAATCAGAAGAAACCCCAACCGCATTCCATCTTGACGTGATTCAACCCACAACTCTGCGCCACCCGCAACATTTCAGAGACACTACTCACAAGAAGAGGACGGCCGAGCTTTCCAGGCGAGGAGAATAGACCGACAGGCCACGGGTGAAAACCGCGGGGGCGAGGGTCGGGGGAAGAGAGAGGGACACGTGATTCAAGGGGGATGTAGTTCAAAGGGGGATTGACGAGGAGCAAAATGCACACACGAAGCAGTTGATTCTTTGACAATGAAGGCCATGCAATAGTTCAGTAATCACGTTCCATTACTGTCGTCTCCAATCATCCAGCAAAGAACCCATCCGGGAATTACACTGGCCGAAGGGCAAGCCTGCATTACGGCACAATTTGCACTAGCCTGTGTTCCACCACAAAGAGCATCAGCCAGTGACTTTCCAGAAACAGGTTCCCCATTAATACATGCAGGCACCAGGAAAACAAAAGCCATAACAATCAACACAGACATCTCTACCCATTCCGTCCCCCTGCCGTAGCAGCAGAGCTCCTTACACCTACCTAACACGCAGACGAGTATTTCTACACACGCTCACCACCCAGGCACTCCAGGAAAGACACACACCAGCACGACCTGAACCTATCTTCATCGCGCCTCCTAAAAGGGGAGTATCTAAGACACCCTACCCATGGAAAGGGAGGGAATTCAAGTCACCACGCCGGACACAGACTCCCCAAAAATTTCCTCCCCACTCCTAATGCCCCGCGTAAAGAAAGAAAAAAGGAAAAGCAAACAGAAAAGACGACCTACAACTAAGGCACCACACATACGACCCCCCTCCCCCCGCCCCTTCCCTCCACCAAATCCCCCCCATCCTTCCGCGGATGTACACACCCGATCCAACGAACTTCCCCCTCTCCTTTCCCTTCCTTCTCTACACTCTTCGGAACCCTAACAGTGGCACAAAGAGAATGGATTTTTCATCAACTTCCGCTCCCTGACACTCTCTCCCTTCGGTCAAGTACTCTAGGTTTTCCAGGGCCGTCGTCCGTTCTTCTCGCCCTTCTCTACATCCACCCGTCCGTCCTCCAATCAGTCCATCCCAACAGAACTGCGGCCCCTTGCTCACTCCTTTCTCCCTCCTCCCTGAGCCCCCATCCATTCATTTTTCTCCCTCCTCCTTGAGCGCCCATCCATTCATTTTTCCCACAAAGCGGAATGCATGCCCAGACTCGAAAAGACATTTCAGCACCCGTCTTGAGACTTCCGCACGATCCTACCCACCTTCTTTTTGAAGTCCTCTCGATTTTCCCTCCACTCTTTGGCTGCATCGATGTTCGCTGGCGATTCGTCATTCGGGCTCGAGAGCATTGATATGATGCTCAGAAGTATCGTCTCCACCGTGTGCACAGGCGACCAACGCTCACTCGCTAGCTCGTATCCATTAGGATCGTCACCCGGAGAGTGAAGAATGGAGATGCACACACGCCCATCGGGGTACACGTTCGGGTGCCACATGTCCGACGTGAAGCGCACTGTCGGTGGCGTATTGGGATAGTTAGTCGGGAACACCATAATTGCATTGAAGAATCCTCCCTCGTAGAACGTATCTGGTGGGCCGATGATGGTGACCTGCCATTCGAATACATTCGAGTCATCAACTAGACCTGCAGAGAACCCATCTACCGGATTTCGTGTCAGCTCTTTCAGTTGCCGCCGAAGCAGCAAGCTCGCCTGCGTCTCCGACATCTTGACTATCTCAAAGCAATGATGATGAAGCACTTGGCAGCCTCCTTCCTCAGCCAAAGCCTGCCTATACTAACTGTCTCAGAAACGGCGAAACCACTCGAAATGCCGGCGCAAGCAGACTCAGAGAGCGTGACAGCCAGCTATGATAGTAGCACCTACCTCCTCACTCTACAGGAACATGGATGATTTGAGCAATGCTGCAGTAGTAAAGTTGCAGTAGAGTAGGTACTAGCTGTGCGAGGGCGGGAGCGCGCGCGGCTATGACACATGAAAACCAATTTCCCCGCTAAGTAAGTGCGCTCGTTTCCCGCTAAGTGCGCTAAAACAGTCGTTCCCCCCTAAGTAAGTACGGTCATTCTAACCGCGACAAGCAGCTCCGCCAAATACCATGTGTGCCACTTCATCACTATTTCGCCTCGTGGGCGCGGTGCTCGCTTTCGGCGCGCTGCCCGGCGTCCTGGGCACCGTGCAGAGCTGTCTGCGGCGATTTGGTTCCTGGCACCTCCAGCTCAACGCAGCTGAAAATCTTCCATCTCGGGAAAGGAAAACCGCTGGTTACGAAGCCCTGGTCTCCATTACCAGCCCCATTGCGGCTCTTCAAATGGCGTCCAGGTCCACGAATGATTCCGCCCGAGGAACATCAACCCCGTACCGTCCGATTGAGTCGATCACGCGGGGGTCTGCAATTAGCCTTCAGTCCGAGGCGCCCCAGCGGCCCACCGACACCTTGCCCAGGCAGGCCCTGGAACATGAATCGGAGAATACAGTAGTCCAATCACAAGCATGCATCTCGTAAGTAAGGGCCATGGCAGCAGTCCGAGGCACCCCAGCGACCTCAGGTCTGTGTCAAGGTGAGCGAATTTCCATGGCGGGCTATCAGTGCAAAATTGTCTACCGCGAGGGTGCGGGGAACGCAGCCCTTCAACCACCAGTACTTCCTAAAGTTGTGGTGCCTGCTCATACCAGCACCCCTAGTTCTCGATCGAGTTGTTTAAAAAAAAAAAAAAAAAAAAAAAACAAGGTCAAAATCTTGGGAAACGTATGGGCCACTACAGGAGAGCCCAAATTCATCCTACTATAAATGTTTTTACTTTTTTTTGCGGCCGATAGTTGGGCCAGGTACTGGTGGTACCTCCGCCAGTGTTGGGAAATTTGGGAAAAATGGCAGTTTTCCCAAAGTCCTCGAAAAGTTCGGAGGTCGCAGAGGCTCGACATGGGTTGTATTTTCGAAAGGGAAAAAAAAAAAAAAAACGTAGGGGAAGGTTGTAAAGGAGATGTGCTCACATCTGTGCTCAAAGGAACACCATCTACCCATAAACCATCTTGTCTCATTTTTTATTATCTCACATCTGTGGTTTTCTTTTTTTTTCCCTTAAGTGTCATGCCAACAAGGCAAGGCACATTCCACGGGCAGCTAACACTTTACAATGGAGGGGGTGCTCTCATATGTACTTCAGATTTTGTATCCAGCTGCTTTCATGCCAAAAGCAATGTTATCACCCGGGCCGCCCGGGTCACCCTATTTTCCGGACAGGCTGGCCGTGCAAGGACCGGGGGAGGTCTTAGCAAAAAAAAAAAAAAAAATTGAAAAACAACTATGTTATGTAAGAAAATAAATTGAACAACTTTTGTTTCAGGGTCACATCAGAATTCGTTATTATATTTTATATAAAAAATAAAATTAAAATATATATATATATATATATATATATATATATATATATATATATATATATATATATATATATATATATATATATTCACAGCCCCTTTTKTTGTYYTTTTCTCYCTCTCTSCCTACGGTTTACCGGGCAGTTCTATTTGACGATATATATATATATATATATATATATATATATACAGGGTAACCGGCATTCGGGACGGGCCGAACGCCCGAACCCGAACGCCCGAACGTATGGGACCCCTTCGGGGTGCGTTCGGCCGTTCGGGCCGAACGCGGACCCAAAAAAAAAAAAAGAAAAAAAAAAAAATCATCAAAAAAATTTGAAAAAAAATATGTTATGGAGAAAAATAAATTAACCAAGATTTACCTGAGCATTACGTCCGAATGACCGAACGTCTGTCTCTTATACACATCTAGATGTGTATAAGAGACAGGACCAGTGCTCTAAAAATTTACAGATGTTTACTTCACATAATACAAAACCCACTAAAAAATTAAAAATAATAATAAAATTGTTTAGACCCCGAACTAAAATGAAAACAAAAAATAAAAAGTGAAAAAAAACGTTGGGCGAGCACGTTTTGACACCACCATCTTTGGCGATTTTTCTTTTTTTTTTTGGCATAGCTAAATGCCTTGAAAATTTACAGATGTGTACTTCACATCATACAAAACCCACTAAAAATGTTTCAAAAAATAATAAAATATTTTAGACACCGAACTAAAATGAAAACAAAAAATAAAAAGTGAAAAAAAACGTGGGCGAGCACGTTTTGACACCGCCATCTTTGACAATTTTTAATTCTTATTTGGCTAAGCCAAATGACTTAAAAATTTATAGGCATGTACCTCACGTCATAGAGAAGCCGTAAAAACAAATTCAGAAAACAATAATTATTTTTAGGCCCCGAAATAATTTTTGGCGGGGGCCGAACGCCGTCGGGTTCGGGTCCCGTACGGGACCCTGAATGCCCGAACGTACGGAGGTCCACCCGGGCACCTCCGTACGTACGGGCTGGTAACCCTGTATATATATATACATATTTTTTGTCTGGCCATGCAAGTGGTCCCATGCCACTCTAGTAGCCTAGGTCAAAAAACTATATATATATTTTTTTCATGCTACCGTGATTACAGCAGGGTTGCAACACCCATTCGGAGAGCATACTCTCACATGTACTCTATATTTTGTATCTAGTTGCTTTCATACCCAAATAGTTTTTTTTTTCTTTTTTTTTGTTGTAATGATTCCAGGAGAGACGGTTAACGGAGACCTCAATTTTTAGACCACTTGTCATACCATTTATAACAAAACCCAAGGGTCATTTTAATCAAACTTGCCACCAATTCATAAAGTGGAGATCATACTAACTACTTACGGGGAAAAAAAAAAAAAAAAAAACTTAAAAAACCTGTAAAACAGTAAGGCAAAAGTGTGTTTTCATACGAAATTCACTCATTTTAGTTTTCAGGATTTTTCAGGGTTAGCCAAAACAGTCAACTCCAAGACCCCAACAAACACCGAACTTGGCACACACAGACCTTGACCAAAAATAAAACAGGAAAAAAGAAATAAAACAGAAAAAACTATTAATTTTTTTTTTTAATGCATTTTTTCACGATTTAAGGGGTTAACCAAGGCTGAAAAATGGGAGTCCCTGTTAACCGCTTGTGGATTCCAGCACGGTTGTAATGCCCGTCGGGAGGGGATATGTTGATATGTACCACAAATTTTGCATCCATGTTCCTAACTCCATTGTTTTTTTTTTTTTTTTTAGGGTTCGGTAACTTTCGATGCGTAGTAAAATTAAAGTTTGGCAAAAAACAGGTTAAAAGGTACTATTGGTTTAGGACGGGTTCATTTTTTATTTTTATAAAAAAATAAAATAAAATAAAATTGTATGTCCCCTTATCCCTTAAAAAATAGGACAAGCAAGGTTCACGAAAAACTAAGAATCGGTCCTTTGAATTTTAAAAGTAATGGTACTGTTGCCTTTTACTTGTTGTTCATCTACAAAAATGTACTATACCAGTCATCGTATACATTCACCACCAATAAATATTTTATAAGGCAGTTCTTAGCTGCAAAAAATGTACTATACCAGTCAAGCGTTAGGTTTTTTAACACAGATGCGAGAACTCGATATATTGCATTCATAGATTGTGAAGTTTGTGCTTAATCCATTAAGGTAAAACAATGGAAGCGCAACAGGAGAAGTAACGAGCATAAAATGTATTTTTTCATCATGTTCATTTTTTTTCGCCTTTGAGTTTTTTTTGTTTCAAAGTTCATTACTAAATCTCAAATTTTCGATGTTTTTTAACCGTTTTTCTAATTGTGAAAATTCGTTACAGTAAGCGTATTCAAAATTTTACTAGGCTACCAGAGTGGCCTATATTTTTAAATTCGGTAAAAAACTTCGATATGACCATGAGGCAAAAATTATTTAGTTTATTTTTTTGCATAATATAGTTTTTTCTTGGATTTTTTGAATTTTTTATTTTTTTATTTTTTTTGGTTGGGACCTTCCCTAGTCCTTGCACGGTCGGGCCGCCCGGGAAAATAGGGTGACCCGGACGGCCCGGATGGTAGCCTATATATTTTACGATAAGATGAAATAGAGTTATAGATTGAGTCACATGTGTGTGTGTGTCAGATAGAGAGAGGAGATAAAAAAATATAATAAAAAATAAAATTTGTTAGAGAATAAAAAAATTATAGATTGTTTTTTTTCCATAGGTTAAAATGCATTTTTTTTTAAAACATAATGTGGATTAAAATAATCAGAAGTAAGAAACAATATAACTGCTTTGACAACTACAATAGTAATACGAGGAACAATCTCCTGAGAAACAATGATTTTATCTGTGTATGAGCTAGGTTACTAGTCGAGCCGCCAGGGTCACCATATTTTCCCTGACGGCCTGGTCGTGCAATGACCATGGAAGGTCCTAGCAAAAAAAAAAAAAAAAAAAAAAAAAAAAAAAAAAAAAAAAAAAAA